GTTAGACATTCTCAGCAAACTCATATTGATGCCAAACAATATATGCTTGCATTCATTGTAAATGAGAGGGTTTTTAATTGAATTCATGATCTAAAAAATAACTCTTTTATATTCACAATATTTTAATAGTTGATAGTAGAGCTAAAATAATTTAATATATTCTTTTTAACATGTATGAAAGGAGTAACAGAATAATTAAAAACATGTAATTAATAAAGGGAAAACATCCCCGCCGAGGGCGAAGGAATGTTTTAGGAGGTTAGGCATAGATTTTTGAGGAGTTTACATCCAGTAAAAATCCTGTCATGTAGACGCTGGGTAATTTATGAGGCAAAAGATTTATTATTGCTAGATGAGAGCTTTGCATACCCTATTATAGAAGGCATACTTTGCCGATTTCGGAAAAAATAAAAGATAGTTAAAAGAGAAGTAATATATTTTATTTTATGAAATGCCTTTAAAATATTAATTAATATAAATCTGAAGATGACGATGATTTTAATTTTCTCATTTATTGTATTATGCATACAAAACTAGCATATAAATAACTAAAACAATACAAGACATTTCTAAAAATAATATTTTTTAATACAAAATTTATTTATTACAGTATAAAATATTTTCGATTGCTTATATAAATAAATTTTGCGTCTAAAGAATTACAAGTGATAAAAATATTAATTATATCATACATATGCCTCAATTGATAATGGTTTTTATAAACCACATAATGCAATAATATAATTCTTAGCTTCTTACATTGACAAAAGGTTATCAAACTAATATAACTCTTTTTTACCATTTTACACATTTATAGAATGGGACTAATAAGGAAAAATTTATAGACCTAAACCAAATCAACAATTCTTGAAGAAGAGAGTATAAACGACCAATCCAAATCATATAACTATTAAGTGGTTAGAGCTTCCTTTTAGATGACATGATGGTAGCTAAATAAGTAATCGAGAAAATTATTGTGAGATATTAAATTTCTAAAAGATTATCATCCATTTTAAATGATATATAATATATAAACGACTACACAGTTGACTATTATTGTTTATCTAAAATATGCAATTATATGCTCTCAGCCGTTATAGTAATAATCTTAAATTAAATAGCAACACAAATAATAGATGCTGGTTAATTTAGTAATAGCCATGACACTCACTATGTAAACTAAAATTAGAATTTATTATGTTGGATAAATTGATAAAATAAAAACACTAAAAATCTTTGGAAAAAATAATTATGCAAATATATTGAAGCCTGGAATTATTTACACGGCAATGCCATATTAGAAATGAAACATTTTCTAACTATAAAATAAGGACCAGAATGATATGAATTTTATATATTGTCGCACCACCTTGGTATATTATATCTTAAAATAATAGTAGTTTGTAATAATATCAAAAATATACTTGTATTAAAAATATAACTCAAAGTTACTATATTTATTATCAATCAGCATTTATTAGTAAAATTCATTACAATATTAGCTGTAATATATTATAACTGTCAAATACGTCTATAAAAGTGGCATTTTATCTAATATTTTATAAACAACTGTATATAATAGAGGATTACAAACTATATGTCTACTTACTTACTTTTTATTATACTTATTTGGACCTTGAAAATATTTATAGGAATAGGTATGATTAAAAATATATAGTTGATTAGTCATTACAATATTAAATTTTTTCGTTTACAATTAATAAATGATTATTTAATTTAATTAGGGTTATAAAATAATTTAAATAATAATAGTCAATTAAGCTTCAACTGTTAATGCATAGGCGTAGCGAGGGGGGGGGGCAAGGGGAAATCCCCCCCTTCAGAAATATTTAACTTTTTGTGAATATCATTTTAAGCTAATAAAAAATATCCCCTTTAATCCTTCCACTCCCTGACCCTCAAAAATGTATGCATATATCTTAAACAATAATTTGAAAGAAAGAATGTAAAAGTTGATATTTTTTTATAAAACTATTTATCATAATTTATACATTATTGGAAAAAATTATTTTTATACATAAAAAGTGAACCAAAAATGTTTTTTAAGAAATGGAATATTAGATAAGCCAAAGATAAGTTTTAAGACAAAAGTGAAATCTATTATTAAAATTACTGAATAATATAATATATCAAATATAATTTTTTATAAAGTTTTAATTTATTTATCTTAATAAAAGTAAAATATAATTATAAAACTATTGATAAAATTAAATCATAAATTAAATAAAAAAATTAAAGCACAATACAAACAGTGGAATATTAAATGTCGTAGATTTACAATATATCTAATTTTATCCATTATCTTATGACAGTCAAGTAATTTTTACCAATATAGAGAATTATATATTTTACAGAAAACTAAAAAATATTGATAAGGACATCAAAAAACATCTTTTAAAGACAAGACTAATTTTTAATATCATTTAAATATAAAATAAATAGATGGCGTTAAATAATTGAATGCATATTGTTGCTATATTTTATTAAGAGCATTGATTAGTAAAATTTGATAAAATATTAACTGTAATATATTCTCTAACTCAAATATGTCTGAAAGTGAAATTTTACCTAGTATTTTGTAACTAATTCTATATAATAGAGGAATATCAACTATATGTCCACTTACTTTTTATAAATTAATTATACTTGTTTAGAATAAATTATTACCATGCTATTATATAAATGTATATACAATTAATTTATTATATTTTATATAAACTAATAAAAATATATTTCCAGGCTTATTTTTTTTATTAAAATTATAGCTTTAGATTAAGGTAACCCGGCCGAAGGCCCGTCTAAAATGGGGTCTAAGGGCGAAGCCCCCAATAATTTTTCAATTCCCCCCCCCCCCTATGAAAATCTTGGCTACAACTATGTGTAAATGCTAAATTAATATTTAGTAAGTGATATTGATATTCTATTTTTAACACAAAATTTGATTGCTAGCTGATATAGTGAAAATATAATTTATATGTATTAATTTAATCTAATATTTTAAATAGTTAATAAATATTTAGATAGTCAAAATAATTTTTAAATAATAAAATTAAATCTATATTTTACTTAGTAGAATTATAAAAGAAATCTTTCAATGGGCAATCAAAAAATTTATTTTTAGTTCAAGGGGCTAAGATTCCATTAAAAAATTTTTTTTTGCTTCAGGGGGCTATTCAAATTTTCCAGAGGGCTCAAGCACCTGCGCCCTCCCACCATTTAGCGACACCACTGAGTATATTTATATTTAAGGGTTTTACCATATTGAAGCGCTATATACTAATATTTTTCGCATTCTTATTATTATATTTTCTACATAAAGATATTATTTTTTGAAATGAGATTGTAATGATATTCTTTTAAATATGCTAGGAAATTGATTTTTCCTATTAATCTTCGCCACTTTGAAATACATGGGAACATTCATCGATTTTAAAATGTCAAATGTGTCATGTAAATTAGTGGACGCTGACAGTAATATAGATAGGAGTTGTATTTCTAATTCAACTATGTTAGTCCAAAACTCGATATCAACAAAATGGTTATTATGACAATTTTCCTCCTTCATGTGAGAAAAAATGGAATTATTTTATATACTTTGCATTTTTAAATAATAATCAATCTATCGAATGAAATGGGGTTAGTTGGCATTCTAAATTAAATATTAGGATTCACATTCTAATTTACTATTGAGGCTCACCTGATGTTATTTTGTGTTAATGAAGTATATATTTAACTTTAAATAAGCTTTATAGCCTCCAATATAATCTTGTTAAACGGTTCGATTTGAGTCGATTTTTAAAATAAGCACGATTAGGATTTTAACCAATAATATTGTGTAAGACTGGAATTTTATTTATAGATGGCAGAAAGGTGTAGCTCTATTTCCCAAATCTCGAGGCCTATATAATATTATTTTGACTAAAATCTTAATCGGCCCGTTTCCCTTTCATGCCCGGAATATTTCCCATGAACAAAAAATATTTGTATTTTGTCTTAATAAAATAATAATTTTGACAGGTTAATGATAAAATTCGAAATAATAAATATTATTTTATAAATTAATATCTCTAACTACCAACCTATTAGTTTCTTAGATACAAAAATTAATTAATAAAATGATGACAAATGATCTCGCTGGGCGCGAAAGGGTTAAAAATTGATCCTAATCAGATCTTTTAACAATTCTAATTTAAGGAAAATTTTCTTAAAAATTTATTCTTTATTATTTTTGAACAATGAACATTTAAAAAAAATTCGTTTAAAATATTAAACAAAACCATTTAATATACCCGCATATTATTCTTTACCCAATGACATATATATGTCATTGTCTTTACCACAAAAACACTGAGTTGGTTATTTATGAAGGAAAATAAGAATAAAATCTCCCGAAGGTTTCGGGTTAAAGAAATCACGACATGCGTAAATGGGACTTGGTTTCCAATTGTGACAAGTTCTTTAAATGTTTTTTTGAATTCAAGCTTTATAGATTTTTTAAGCATCGAGATTTGACAAATAGAGGTCAAAACATATCGGCCATAAAATCCTAATCGACAAATTGACTCAAATCGGCTGGCTTAACAACACTACAATCTGGTAATAAATATATATTATTAGTGCAATGGTCCAAAAAGTGTCTCTCATTCAAATTTAGCCCATAGATATTTTATAAAATTTAATAGGTGTGAGAAGGATTAAATGTAGCTCTGTTGACATTTAACAACACAGACAATGAGCTTAAAAAATGTTAAAAGACGAAAGTTCGTTTACTATCATAGAGATAGCTACCCTAGCCTTAAATATCCACGTATATTGCCCAAATTATGATGAAACCAATGTCTATTACTATCTAGTAATCCTTTAATAATTCTGAAACTATTATGAGTTCATAGGAGTATTATTATTAATTCAAGATGGAAGGTAGTTTTTGCTACTTTATGATGTTTTAATATATTTTTTCGGGCATTTGTTATAATCCTTATTTGAAATGGATTCAATAAAATTTCCAAATGGTAATAGTAAATATAAAAATATATTTATGAAACTTATATTATCTATATTTATATTTGTATGATATTTAGATCCGGAATTAAAGAATATTATAGATAAGTTGGCAAATTTTGTTGCTAGAAATGGACCAGATTTTGAAGAAATGACTAAGAATAAACAACGAGATAATTTAAAATTTTCATTTCTTTTTGGAGGGGAATACCATCCATATTATAAATTTAAAGTTCAAGAGGAATTTATGGGTATGTTTAAACTTGTTAGTTTAATTTATTTAACTTTTTTTATATATAGCTTTTAGATTTCAACAACAGTCACAAAATCAAAATTTGCATTCAAATTTCAATCCTCCATGGCAACAAGCCAATATTCAACCTATTCATTCTCAACATATGCAACCATCAAATTCATTATTGCCTAATCCTTTTCCCAATCCTAACATGAATAATATGATGCCAAATCAACCATTTTTATTCAATTCAAATAATAATAATAATTTAATAAACCAACAGAATAACCCAATTATACCTCCATATATTCAACATCAACAATCATTATTTCCACCTTATCCAAATTTTAAAAATACTTCCAATACATTTGAACAACCAAAATCTACCAATATGAATAATTATAACCCTAATAATTTCAATAATAATAATTTTAATGATAATATTAACTATATACCTAATAGTAGATCTAACAACAGCTCTTTCAATAACACCACAATCTCTCCTAATATATGTTCAAAATACAGCTATGAAACATTAATGAATTCAGGCCTTAATGATGTAGCTCTTCAAAAAATCCAAGAAAGTGAAAATTATTTAGCATCACAGTTTCAGTCACTCTTAAATCAACAACAAGTCATTATTTATATATTTGTTAAATGATTAATAACCTTAAATCAAAAATAATATTTTAGTTTCTTGTTACTTTATTTTTTTAATTAAAATTATAACATAAATATTTATTATTTTATCAAAGCTATTAGGTGGATAATATGTTTTTTTGCAAAAATTTTTATAAATAAATAGGCAAAAGTAAAAAATGTGGTAGCTACAGCACAATTTGGCAAATTAGTACAATTGAGTGAAGAATGCAATATAAATCTCTCAGAATTAGATATGATTGTCAACCCAATCATTGAATCTTGCACTAAAGAAGCAATCTCGGTATTTACTTTAAAATAATTTTTTTTAAAAAAAAATAACTACATGTGTAAACATAATATGAACATTGTCTAGAATCATTTTATATTTTGATTTGGATAGAATTCATATAAGGTTTGATAACCAATTTTTTGCTATTGTTATTAGAGAATTAAAAAAAATTTATTTTATTTGAAAAATTACAGGAAAATGACCTTTTTGCTTTTATTTAATTTTGCCTTTTTTCCCTAAAATAAATTTATATTTTGCCTTTTAATCATTTTTCTTATTGGTACAAACTAGAGTTCTGCCACCCATTTGATCCTCCTGTTACATTATCCCAAAATATAAATATTATATTCTATTCTTTTTGCTTAATTTTATATCCCAATTTAAACGTACTCATTGAAATTTTTTTTGGCCCAGTCAATACATTTTTTTTGCCCCAGTCTATACATTTTTTTCCCCTACCCTAATAATTCTGTATGAAGGAAAGAAATTATTGTTAACTTCAGGCCAAGCTCGTTATTTTGCACAAGTAGTTGAGCCAGGCCATAAAATATTTTTGCCTTGACCTTGGAGTGGAAAATTTAAAAATAGTAGGAGGTGCCAAATTTTTTCTATTTATTTTTGTATCTTATTTTTCAGACCTGCAGGCTAGGCCAAACCTCTATAGGCACAAAACTGGCTAAAAAATATGATTTTTAAAATTTAAATTGTTATTTTTGTTTAAATCCAAGCTAGGTCTAAAATTTTAACTTATGCAGGTCTCTGATATTTTGTTTCAAATAAAATAAGTGGACATTATTAGATTATCATAGTTATTGAATTTCAAAAGTGTAATCAGAGTTTGAAAATAATCTTCAAAAAAATTTTGATTTCATCTTGAATTTTATACATGAAAATTAAAAAAGTTTTGGCATTTTTGATTAAAATTTGATCAAAAAAAATTATTGTTTCTTAAAATAGAAATATTTTTGAGGGTTTTTATAAAAACTCTAGGGATAACAATTTTTCTCCAGGCTTACTCAATCTCATTTGGGAGATCAAAACTTGAATATTATTTTTGATTATTCGTAGTTACAAGATGGTCTGTGGAGCTAACAAACTGCAACTTGAGTATTTTCAAGTGATAGATACCAACCATGCAAAATCTAAAATTTTTTATTTCTTTATAAATTTTTAAAATGGAAATTAATAAGCGCATATGGGAATAAACTGCTTAAATATTATATTTATTTCACATTTTTTCCATTATTGTTTATTGTTTTTTAGACACATTTATAAGATTCTTAGAGAAAGCAAAATATATTCACAATATGGTGTTTGCTTTTAAATCGATCATCAATCTGATTAGAGATAATATAAATTAAGATAAATGCCCTTTACACTTTTTTCCTTACTTTATAAATTTTCACTTTGGGCTAATTCCATAACAAATCTACCAGAATATTATGATTTTGTAAATATCCGAGCCTTTCTTCTTTTAACCAATCTCAAATTACTCAAAATATTTTTGGTACAAAGTCACAAATATATATCACTCTGTAGCCCTCAAAATTCTCCTTTAAGAAATGCAAAAATTATTTCAAAACTATCTTCTATATTGTTGTATTTATGGGGAAAAATATTTTGAGATGGGCAAAATTTGAAATGGTGAAACTCACCAAATATGTTAATCTATGATATATAAATATTTAAGTAAAAATATTAACGGAGAAACTTATAATTTAAATTTTATTTAATTTTTATATAAATTTAGGAATAAAAAAGTAAATTATAGAGGATGTTATCTTTAAAAATAATTGTAATATCTTTTTTTTATTGGGGTACATAAAACTATATTTTTTTAACATTCCTAATATATGTTATATATATTTTTTTATTTTATCAAAAATACAACAGCACTGAAGATATTTTAAAATAATTTTGTTATTTTCTTAAGGATAATTAAAGCTATAAAATGATATATAATTTGTGCCTTTGGACTAAAGATATTTTGAGTAATTTTAGATTCTTTACTAAAAGAAAAGACTATCATTGGACTTTGAAGACACATAACTCCAGATATATTTGAGCTAGAGCTTTAAAATTTTGTTTTGTATAAAATATACACATTATATAACCAATATATTTAGTTTAATTTATTTAAAAAGGGTCACCCAACATACTGGGTGATTTGTCATGGAATTAGCCCTTGAAATTCAATAAAAAAATCTGTTGAATCTTTTTTTAAACATTCAGCTTCAATTTTAAATTTATAAACAAATAAAACCCAACAAAATATTTTAAGTCTTTCTTTAACTTATATTCGATGATTGTAGATTTTTTACTATTATATTGCAATTTTTTTATATAACACATTGAAAAATTAATATATGACAGAAAAATTTTGCATTTTATTTCTAATAGTTTTTGTTTTCTCCTTTCTTTTGACAATAATGTAAAATTTAATAACTTCATTATATATGTATAATCATCTAGATGACAATCTTGTCTTGCATATTCTCTTTAATGTTTTAAGTGATTATTTTCATTAAGCCTTTCTGTTTTTTCCATCTATTATACCATTCCCTCAAAATGTATATATTTTTTTTAATAGCATTGTAAATAATTTACTTATGTTATTAGTAGCAGTATTTACAAGCTCAAGTTATGAATAGCAGAATGTATCCAAGCTGCATTTGTCTATTTCTTTATGCTTGCTCCACTCATATTTACAATTCCATTATATTCTTTTCCTTCATAAATTTATTAATAATAATATCCAATTCTGAATTTTGTTCAGAAATTTAATAAAATCTTGAATAGAATCCATAATCTCAATATCAGGATTTTTATTTTCTTTATTTTTGACAATTTGAAAACAAGGACTAGCTCATCTATTTTTTTGATATCTTGAGTTGTATCTAATATATTTGCATAAAAACAATATTCTCTTATTTAATATTTATTAAATTATTATACCTTTTTTTAAATAGAATATTGAAATTGTGATAATAGATTTATTTTTTTTGGGCTAACCTATATATTTTTTTTTGATTTTTGAGTTAAAAGATTATGATGAATTAGATCATAATTGCTTAACAATTTTATTAATGAGATAAAATTTCATTTGGTTTATATAATAAACATTCATTGTGTCCACAGAGAAAAATAGCATATTTCTATTATCACATCTACAATCCAATCTAGTATGAGCATATTTTCCCATTTATGGGTAATTGTCCATTGACTTATTTTATTGATGATCATGGTAGTATCGATTTCTCTACATTTTCCACTTATCATATGTTAAACAGGATTCAAGATGGGTGTGGGTAATTTCATATTCCATGAAATGCATGGGGGGGGGGAGGTGTGCCTTAAATTTCTGAAAACTTTAAAATTCTCACACTTACAGGGTCTGTGGGCCTTATATTACCACTGCTGAATATTTAAAATAAGGTACACCATTAAAATAGCAATTTGAGTATGAGAAATTTTTTCTCAATTGCATTTATAAAAATTGAGCTGTTTTTTCAGGTCCCGAGTTCAAATCTTATTTAAATATGTTTATAGGTTATCATTATTAAGGATTAATTTGGGTTTATATATAAATTAAAATAAATCTAATAGTATTACTATTTATAATGAAATTAATATTTAATCTTATAAAAAGAATGGTAAAGCATGGATACTCAAAAACAATATCAACCCTAAATTTCCAGAATTTTTGGCTAGATATTTATTGAAACGGTAATTCAATGAAAAAAAAATATTTAAGTATGTTTGTTTCTCTTATATGGAAGGAAGGAAAGAAAAAGAGAGAGAAACAACTTATAAATTGGTTAGGGTTAGGATCTCTTAGAGTGTTATTAATAACAATATAACTTCTGGCAAAGCTCTTATTACATTTTGTTAAATTTATTGATATTTGTTTTTGTTTTCGACAATCTTAACACATCTTTTATAAAAAATTGTTTAATCTATTTGTACTTGTATTTAAATCAAATTTAGATGAAATTAAATAAATAGTAAGTTAATGCGAACATATAATATAGTAATGATGTTTGAACTAATATCCTTGAAATCATTATGCTAAACATGATTATGTTATTTTCATCATTGTTTTCATTATAAATATTTATTTTTAAAAAACAGTATAATGGCGGTAGATGCTAATTTTGACATCAGGCTTCACTTGATTTACCTGATCAACGATCTTATGCATCACTGGTAATAAAAATATATAGAAATTTTATATTTGAAAATTTATTATTATATTGATTATATAGTTGTCATCAATGTAAAATTATGCTAAGAGGGGTGATAAATTTAACTTAATATTCTACTTTAAAAAGATATAAACATCATCCCAGCTGACTTTCAGCAAATTATTAACAGTGATTTATTTTGTTAAAATAAGAAATTTGTTTTGATTAATTTATCTGCTCAAGAATCTAAATGTCTTACTGAACCAAAATTGATTCTTTTAATTTTAAGAGGTTTTCTCCCATTCACTCAAATCTTAGAACGATGATATGTCTTTATAAAATATAAGTATTCTAATTGAATTTTTTTGAACCTAATTCAATTTCGACGAAAAGTGAAATTTCCGGGCAAATATTGCCATGTTTTAAAGTAAGAACAGAATGGAAGCATTATTATTTTTTTCGAGTTTCAGTACTTTTCAGCTATTAAATTATTTTGACTTTCCGGATAAAAAATAATTATTTTGAAGTGATTGGCGTGGAGAATCGAATTTGATCTGTTTAAATGACTTTATGTAAAATGCAAACAATTTTTTTTAATATTTATCATGCAAATTATTATTTTATTTAATATTTTTTGTCAAGCATTCGCAAAAACGTGGAAGAATTAAGAGGCGCCCTAGACAATATCATAATCCCCATTTTTTGTCAAACCTACGTGGAAACGCTGGATACTGAGAGGGAGAAATTGGACAAGCTGTTGCATCTATGGGAGAGCAACAATTATTTCAAACCCGAATATTTAAACGTATTTTTTTAAAAAATAATTTTTTATGGTTTTTTATAGACTTTATTATCGCGTTTGCCAATAACTTTTAATAGTACATAATTCTTGTTTTTAATTTCCCCCTATTTATTTTTCGCCTTTCTATTTCATTCACCATTTTTTTTACTAATCGATATCTTCATTATCACCGATAGGACCTAAAAAACGCCAAGGAATCGCTCGTCACTTATAATTCCGACATTGCGATTGAATACGGGCACGTAGTTGATAACGTGATTGCTGAATTCGATCATCTTCGATCCAATCTGCGACAGAATCATGAAAAAATGGTGGAAGAGTTGAAGATGGAAATGGGCGGAAATCTGGATAGTGGCGGGCACAAAAAACCTCCAGGATTGATGGATATAGATACCGGAAGGAACAGTGCAGAAGAAACTGAAGCTCCTAAGAGTTTATTAGGAAGTTAGTTAATTTTTTTCCCATTGCTTTATTAGAACTATAAACGGCTCTCCAATACGAAAAAAATGAGTTTTAAAAGATAAATATAAGTCTACTTTTATTTGTAAAAAGGAAATGATTAAATACGATTGAAATTCTTTAGATCTGTAAACGATTCATTATCGAAGTTACTGTGCGGTTTCTGTTTATTTTTTATCAAGGAAATCCGGAAGAGAAAAAATGTGCTAAATTTTTTTTTGAATTATTTTTAAAAATCGAAGATCCACCCGTTATGATGAATAGCAGCATTCCTAATCAACCGATGCCAGGCAACAATTTCAATAACCTTATAAACCAAAATCCTAATTTAATGAATAACCTTATGTTTAACAATGCGAACCCTAATGCTATGCTTGAAATGCTCACTTCTTGCATGAATTCTGGCAATACAAACATGACGGCACTCGGTGGAAATAACCCAGCCGCTATTTTAGCCGCCATAATGAATAATAATCAAATGGGAGGAACTGGAATTAGTAGTTTAATGCCTCACCTTCCTCCACCAATGGCAATGATGATGATGACCATGATGAAAAATAATGGGATGGTACAACAGAATCAAAACAATAACCTCAACGCTAATATTCCTTTCCCATTTCCGGGAAACAATAATAATAATATGGGTAAGGAAATTTATAATTTATAAATGATTAATCATTTAGCATAACCTCATTTTTAAAATAAATATTGACATCTTTATCAATATTCCACAGAGTTCGGCCATGTTTCAGGACAGGACAAGTGTCTTGTTGCTAGAATATCCTTTATCCTTTCTTTATCTTTGTAATCGTGTTTTAAAAAAATGAGAAAAACAAAAACTCTTTTCAGTCAATGTGTTATTTTCAACCTTAAATATTTTTTTGACCGTTTTTAAAGAGTTTAAAAATCTTATTTTTTTCGGAAATGTTTTCCACTATTACTTCCATACCCCTGCTTGATTTGATCAAATGTGTTTTAAAATGCGGAGAGTCTAAAAATATAAATATATGAATTAATACCCATGCAAAAATTGATTACCAAATTTATAATATAATCGTCTTTGGCAGTCATATAGTTATTGCTTAAACCATATTTCATATTTGATGGACCGCCCGATTTGGATCGATTTTTAAAAACGGCCGTATTAAGATTTTAGTCAAAATAATATTATGTAAGCCTGAAGATTTTGCTCATTGGTGACACAATGGTTTGGACCTCTATTTCCCAAATCTCGAGACTTACATAATTTTATTTTGGCTAAAATCTTAATCGGGCCATTTGACAATGGATTAAATATACACTGTTAGTCAATCAGGTATAACTATCCTGTTAGAACTTCAAATCAAATTTAATCTTGTTTTAATTTAAATGAAAATTTAAAAATATATATATTTTTAAAAAAAGGTAACTAAATGGGTATCTATGAAATTTTAAATGCTACATAATTATGGACTGTGTTGAAACTTTTTTTTGTATTCTAGTTGACCCAATAGTGGTTATTTTTTTTTCTATATTAACCCGGCCCTATCAAGTGGATTAACTCATCCTGACCAATAATTTTATCATGTAATTGGTATTAATATTTTTATAATATAATAATATATCTTAAAAAAATTTTTTTTATTTACCAACTGCAGCTGCTAATCTAATGAACCTATTTAGCACGTTCAATAATCAGCCCCACCTCAACAATCCCCAAATTATGAACAACGGGAATAAAGAACTCCCTAATTTCGCACCCATACACCCTCCGGCATTTAAAATGGATCCCAAGGATAAATCCATCATCCCCGGATTGCCTTACTTTGACCTGCCAGCAGGGCTCATGGTTAAATTAATCAAGGTATGCCCATTTTTCCTGTTTTATTCTCTTGAGCAATTTTATTTTAATAAAATTATGAATGGTTAACGTAAACACATAAAACTTTTACCAATTTACTCATTTTTGCGAATGATTTTAAATATTTACCAATATTCGTATAATAAAGAAGTTATTATTCGACTTAGTTTTCATTATAATGTGTGTAAAAATACGAATAACGAATAATTTGTTTTATTTCTATAAGAATGAGAGAAATAGTTTTTTTTATATCAAGTTCAATAGCCAATTTTTATATTTTTCTTTTAAATTTACATTTCAGGATGAAGATGTTAATTACAAAAGTTTAGACCCAAACTCGCTCAGGCTGCCTGCTCCAGATCCTCCCTCTGAACAATTATTAGGAGCTGTAGAAGCATTTTACAGCCAGGCCTCCCATGAAGCACCTAGGAATATGTTTTTATAAATAAATTTATTATATTGATTTATTGGCAACTATAAACATGAAACATATGATAAGCATAAAAATTAAATTACGTTGGATTCTTGCAAATTTTTTTTGAAAGTCGTTGCAGGATTGAGGGCAAAAGAGTAGCTTTTACTTTATTTGTATCTATGTACGTTAGATAACTTATAAATTAATACCCTTCGTATCTCATCTTGTATTTTAAGTGAAATAGTCAAATCAATGCGAAAGGTTTTTGTTTCTAGTTAGATGATTCTTATTGTTAGAATAATTAAGATAAATGCTCTATATCGACTTTAAACATTATTTTTGTATAGTTAGGGATGTAAATTGTCTTTTATTTTTTCAAGTGTTAAAAATGGGGAACAAAATATAAATTAATATATATTTGAATTTTAATTTGATAGGTGATAGAAATGCTAATTGTATATAAAAGGAAATAGTTAAAATGTAACGTACATCGATACAAATAAAATTAAACGATGATATAATAATAATGCTCACCAAAGGCCTGAAAATTGAATAAGCCTACTTATTTTTATTATAGTGAAGTTATTATTTTATTATGTTTTAATTTAATTCTCCATAAAATAAAAATGTAACGGTAAATTAGCGAGGGATGGGAACATTTGGGTCTCTTTGAGTTTTACAAGTGTAAAGCCCGTTACCAAAAGTCCACGAATAAACGTCAAACATCCTCTCCAAATCGTTCTGATCAATCTTCTCGCCATAGTTCCCGGTCTCGATCTAGATCATTTTCTAACGATTCCAATTATTCTAGTTACGACTCGACCCGACAAAACGACAATGATTATGCCAGCGAGAGAGCCGATGATAGGAAAATCAAGAAAAAGAGAAGGAGACGCAGGGGTGGTAGAAAAAATCGAGGCAGAAGTTTAACTCATTTTCCTAACTTTCTTTTTTTTAACTATTTTATTGGGTGTAACTGGGATTGGTATTAGATTAAATTATAAATGTTTAATATTTTAAATGGGATTCAACTAATTATAATAAAATCTTATAAATAAATCTCATCTCATTCCCAATCGAGAATGAAACATGAGAATTTATAGAGCAAGGAAAGATTAAGAGAGATAGAATGAGGGCTTACAAACACTCACGAGATTTTGAAAAAAATTATGTTTCGGGAGAAAAATTTATAAAATAAATTATACAATTAATATCGCTGAATTTTTATGTTATCTGTGTTATAATAGTTTTATAACTAAAAATAAAACACATGCTTTCAGGAAACAGAAAGGCATTGAAAGATGACAAACTCGTTGGAGATCAAGATCATTCTTTAAACGCATCGCGAAACGATGAAAAAGAAAGTGACAAAAGAGTCTTCAAAGAGTTCAGCTCTGACGAGGAAGAAAAAGATGCGAATGGGAGAGAAAGGAATAGACGGTAATTTTATTTTATATAATCATAATATGGACGGTTTTTATAATATTTTAGTGTAGGCCATGTCATGATTTTCAGCCTTTAACCAAGGTTTGTTTGTAGTTGTGAGCCATATTTCCTCGACTCTTTTTTAATTATCATTAGATGCACTGCAAAAGGTAAAAGAAAAAATAGAAAAAACAAATATGGTGTCCTAGTTCTAAAGCTGTATCCATAAGTAACAAAAATTAGTCGATCCAGGGACACAGCCTAAGAATTGGATACTGTGTAAAGAGTAAAGAAAATAGAAATTAGAGTGCAACATTTAAATTAAGATATAAGAATATCAAAATAAAGAGTAAAAAGTTCGCCACATTAAACGTTTTTAAGTAAAGTCGGGAATTTATAGGGTTATTTTAGGATTTCGAGTTATAACTAATAAATTGGGATTAAAAGAAGAAATTCTATATTAAATATATAAAACTATAAATTTTAATGAATAATTTTGGATTGCTCGCAAATATTATTTTTTAAATTTAGCTCGAGATCTAGATCCCGCTCAAGAAACAGAACCAGCCGACATTATTCAAGAAGATCTCCTTCCCCGTATAACAATTCGAATTCCAGGGGCAATGCTAAACGGAGATCCCAATCACGATCTCCCATTAAAAATGAGCAGAATGATAACTATTATCAGCCGCCCACGTTAGATATAATTTTTATGAAATCGATTTAGGTTTTAATGAAGCGCACATTTCCTTAAATTAAAACGCCAATGATCTATATTTTCTTGAGTTTATTTCCAGTATAATTCTTATCGACATATTATAAAATTGGCATATACATTTACTAAAGTGTGAAGAATATTTTGGTAACGCAATTGGAAAAATGATCATTACAGACAACAGTTTTGCAATTTGGCGTTAAATTTATCGAGATGATCTTAAGTTTTATGAAAAGAAATTGTTCCTAATTGGTTTTCTTTTTTTTTTGACTATCCGCTAATTTAGCTTATCTCTATTTCAATTCAATATGGTTATATAACATTTTATATAATACATATTATTTAAATGATTGTAGTGAAGATATCTTCTCAATCAAAGACGTTTCCGAGCAACAAAGATTAGATGAATACAATAAAGGTCATCAACTCTTGAAAAAAATGGGTAATAAATATGTTATTAAACAATTCGTTTTATAATTGATTAAAATGTTTCAACTAATCATCTAAAATTTAATTTTTCCTTTAGTCAGTGTCAATAAGCGTTTATACTATAATTTGATTTCAAAATAATAGATATATCTTTTAACCCTTGAGTGTATAAGGTTGGAAAAAAATAGTGAATGGTTAAATGAGGCATAGCATATCCTCATTTAATTGTAAATATAAATTTTTTTATTTATTTACTTTACATTTATATTAGTACAAGCATGTTTGTGAAATTTATGTATTTTTTGAAAAGAAATCATTACAAGAGCTAAAATGTACGTTTTTGCTTCCCAAAAAATGTTTGTATCTTAATAATATTTAAAATACATTAAACTTTTCAGAAATATTGTTTAGTATAAAATAGAAGACTACAAAATAACTACAGGTTTTTTGTAGAATAAATTTTAAATCTCCGAAATGTTTGTCATTTTTTTTTAACTTGCACTTTTATATTATAATATATTGATTTAATTAGGTTGGAAAGGCGCCGGTTTAGGTCTAAACGAACAAGGAACACAAGATCCCATATCCGGCGGCGAGGTAAGAGATAGAGTTAACCAATATAAAGGGGTGGGAGAACAACCCAAAGAGATGGAACCTTACGAAGAATACAGAAAAATAAGATGCAAAATGCTTTACAATCGATGAAAATGTTTTGCAGCCTATCGATTATTTAATATATCATTGTAATTATTTAAGTTTTATATTTTATTTCTTCTTCACCCCCACTCCATAACTTGATTTATACATTACTTTTTAATGAATTATGAACAAATTCTTAAATAAATGATTATAGACCTCGAGGAAGTTTGCTATTGAAATATTGTTATACTTGAACACAGATCATTAATTATATAAGTACAAAGTTTATTCTAAATGATCGAATTCTCTCGGAACCACGTCAAATTTAGGAAGCAGAACCCACTTCGGAACCATTGAGATTTAAGAAAATTACGTTTCCGATTTTACAATTTAAATTTCCCGTCATTTCTTAAAAATAGAATCAATTAAATATTTTTTATTTATTAAGATCAAACTCGGAGATTTCAACAAGAACCTCATTTATTTTACATCTAAATGGAATTAGATTGTTATTATTATTAAAAGTCTTTATTTATCAGCCATATATAAAACAGTAGGGTTCGTGTGGTTTTTTTTCTTAGCAGTCATTTGTTTAGCCGTCTATATAGCTACCTTCAAACAGCCTGAAAATGAAGAAGCTATTTAGATTTACATAAAAGAAGTGCTGTAAACCTTACTTCAAAAAGAAACTCGTTACATTTGAAAAAGAGTGCGTTATTTTACTCGTTTCTTTGTGAAAAAAGGAACGCGTTTTTCGCTATTCAAAAAAAAATAACGCATTACTCTTTACTTAAAAAAAATACTAAAAAAATATATAAATTTTATTTTTTCCCATATATAATAAAAATAAAATTATTACAAAATAATATACTATAAGATAAGATCATTTTGTAATAATTTTTTACTTATTTTTAAATAACAATCTATTTTAAAAATTTTGATGAGATAAACAAGAACATTTTACGGCTTTCCCTCTGCTAAACACGTTCAACTGACGCAAAGGATGGGTGGGTTGTTTATATTTAATAAAAAAAAAAATTAAATAGGGGAATTTATTTAAAATATCAAATGAATTATTTTTCAAAAAAAAGCTTAGTTAAAAATCATACTGGGACAAGGGTAGAGTTAAATCAAAGAAATAAGTATAGATTTAATATTAATCAGATTAACAATCTTGAACTGTATGAAGAAATTCAATAACAGAATATAATAAATAAAATAAAAAATAATGAATTTTGATAGTTGATCTGATTTAAAAACACGGCTTAAATTATTAATAAAATTTATAATATATATCTAATAATAAGAAAAAATTTAAAGTTACATTTTGCGTTACCTTATCCAAAAAAAAGAAACGCGTTACTCTTTAACAACAAATGGGCTTCTTTTTCCTTAAAAAACACTACTTTATAGCACAAAGAATACATGCCTGTTTACTGAAAAAATATATGAATAACAAATAATATTTATTTTTGGTACAAACTTAAAACAAACCAAAATAAGGTGTCCTAGTTCAAAACTTGTTTTACTTGTGCTAAACAAAAATAAGTTTCAAAAATATAACATACCAGGATACGGTCTAACTTATGAATTATTTTTTTTACCTATAAACATGTATTTGTTACTTTTTCTTTATAAAAATGCCTTTATATTTTGAAACATTTTTAGCTCATTTTTTAATCGCAGCTTATTTCGGCGCTTAAATTCAAAAAAATATTTTTTTTAAATATTAGCTCATTCAAATTGTATAAAATATGATCACTATTTCGAAACTCATTTCATGCCTAAGTAAAGTGCTACAGGAAAAAAATCTAAATAAGTTGGCTTCTTAAATTTCCTTGCATTTATTTTGCATTTAAGTTAGTTTTTCATGGGAAATAAAATCATTCAGGTTGGATTGGGCATAATTTACTGGGAAAACAATTGGGCAGACTTGTCGGATTAGGACCTAGAAAAAAAACTTGATTTTTTTTCGAATCTGTTAAACCCACGAAAATATGTCCAATGTAGGGCTCTAGGCGATATTTTGAACCAAGGTAAAATATTAACCAATTCACTAACAAAATTTTCCTCAAAATTGAAATAAGGTGTCAATAAATTTGGATATATTAAAAATCGAAATAATTTAAATGGCCAAGATATGCAAAAAGTAGTTTTTATAAAAATAAAGTGATGGGTGTACATTTTTGTTTCATAGAGTACGTCTTTTTTGAGATATGAAAATTCTGTGTACCGGCGATTCGCATCTAGTCATCTTCTACCTAGCTTTTTCGCCTAATAAGAGCCAACGGTGTACCAGCGATTCGCCTAAGACATTTTACCTAAGGAGCGCCAACTAGTGATGCTAAATCGCTCCATTTAAGCCGATTATTAAAAACGCCTAATTCAATATTTTCTCCGGAAAATATTATACAAGCCTTAAGATTTCGCTGATAGATGCCACATTGGTTTAGACATCTAATAATAAGTTAGCCGTTTTTAAAAATAGGAAAGATACGCAATTTAGGGCAAGGGGTGACAGGGCAAGAAAACTTGTCTTGACATATATGGCATGTCTTGGGTGTTTAGACTAATAAATTAGCGGTTTGTCTATTAATTGGCTCTTATTGATACTAATTGGCTATTATTGACTCCCACTAGCACTTGTTGGCACACATTGACGCTTGTTGACCCTCATTAACATTTGTTGCTGCTCATTAGGCGAAACGCACTCCAACCAAAAGCTCAATTTTTACATAATATAAATATTTATAATAAAAATATCAATGATAATACTAATCTAGATTGATGATTCATTTATTAGATACATATATTGAAGTCAGCTGTAGTCAACATTTCCTATGGTGGACTTAATGAATGAAGTCAATTTAGGTTAGTCATTAATGTCAGTTTAAAGTATATAAATTAAATTAAATTTGCTTGTTATACCCCATTTTCATTATTCATTTTTTCCTTTTTTAAATATGTTTTAATAAATTTGGCCCTTAGTTGATAATTAGGTCTTAAATTATTCTTTGTATTTCTTTAAATTTTAAAATAATTAGTATATTTTAAAAGAATTGTCTAGTTTCAAAACCTCCCCCAGTAAGGCCACTCCTATTTAATAAATATTGTGGTATGCTAAATTATCGGAAATTGTTTCATGTCTGTCAAAAATTTTTTTTTATTAAATACTGTCGGCTGAGTATTATAGTGTTCAAGTACATTTTTGGAAAATATATTTTTTCCCGATAAATCAATTTTTCGCTATTTATTCTTCCATATTAACAATCGAAGATATTAATTTATAATAATGCTTTATAATGTTGTTAAACAGCCCAATTTGGGATCGATTTTTAAAAATGGCCCGATTAAGATATTAGCCAAAATTATATTATGCAGAGACCTGCAGAGGTATCATTTGCACCACCCGACCCTGGATTCTTTTTAAAAAAAATTTAGACCATGCCCGGGTTTTATATTTTCAGGCCCGGCCCTGATTTTTTAAAAATATATCACATTTATTTATTTTTATAGCTAATAATGGCGATTTAAAATATACGGCCCAGCCCAGGTAAAGCACCACCCAGGAGGTCTATGATATTATGTAAGAATCGAAATTTAGAAAATGAAGGCCAAAACATTTCAGCCATCTATGAGCAAAATCTCCAGATTTACAATGTTATTTGGGTTAAATGAAATATTTACGTTATTATAATGTGATCTCCGATTTAAAATTCAAAAAAGTTTATTTTTTTTGAACATGTTCCCCTAAATTTTTTTTTAAAAATAGAACACCATATTAGATGAAGATACTGCGAAAACCTGACTGGACAATTTTTTTAAAAATATTTACTTATTAAAAAAAAATTGGATTTAAAATGTTAGAAATTAATTCCGTAAACGAAATCCTTGGCATTTAAGGTAAAAAAAAAATAAAATAAATTAATATTGGTTTTTTTCTTTTCAAAATTTACATAATTATTATGTTATAAAAATCATGAGGAAATAAAATATGCAAACATTAATATTTTTTTAAAAAAAAATATATAAGCTATCAAATTTTTTTTTTGAAGATATTACGCGAAAAAAAGGAAAAGTAAAACTTAAATTATTTAGATTCCATATTTAAAAGAGGCCAAAATATTTCATATGACAAAAATATTTTTTAAAAAATAATATTAAAAAAAAGGTACATTGCTCTATTTTCATATTTTTGTTATAAATGCTAAAATAGCTCAGACTTTATAATCGTGTGATTTATTCCGAAATATTATATCTATACAAAACCGAATTGAATATATATTGTATGGTGTCTAAAAATTACCCTGCATCTATTTTTTTTTTAATGGCCGGTCCGAAATTTTTTTTTGTGTTTCTATTATTATTTTAGAATTAAATTCAATTTTACTTAAAATAAGGTGCCACCTTAAATAAAATGTGAAAAATATTCGGCTGAGATAAAAATTAAGATTTTTCGGGTATCCAAGAAATTTTGCCAGAATCCAGCTTCGAATGATAATTTGAAAATGAACGTTAGGCCAAATCAAATCGGAGAGTGTATTTGTCCATCATATTCGAGTTCGGAGTGATTCATATAGGACTCTATAAAAAATATGCTATTTTCTCCCCCTATGTTTGATAATGTATTCCAAAAAATTTTTTTTTTACAATACACTAAAATTATCAATAATATACTCATTTATTTAAAATAACAAATATTTCCTTACCCTATATTGTTGTGTATAGCTGTCAATGTCACGAACTTTCTCCATGAGTAATGAAAGTCAGGTCTTTTTCAAAGTGCTGCGTTATCTTCAAATCTGTTTATTACAGTTCATAGCTGGAATAAAATTTAATGGGGAATAACTTCACTTAATAGTTTCATTTCCCCCCTCCCCAAACCTGGCTACGCTATGTTGCCATTATACAAGGTTAACTGGATTTTGCAAATGACTCAGAATACTTGATCATAATATCTAATAGCTAGTAACAGGCAAAAAGGTTGTCGATGTATATTTAATTAAAAATAATGCCAGTAATGTAATTGGGTAAGGTCAAAAATGCTTAGAATACGCGAAGCTGGGCCAATAAATGTTATTTTAAGACCTCTAGAGATTTCATGATTTGAAGGATTACAAATCTTTCAATATAACAGATGATAAATGAATAGTCGTAATCTCAGTTTATGAAGAAAAAAACTATCATTTGGCATTCCTCTCTTATCAGTTCAGAAATTTTATAAACTTGGTAATGAAAATAATGGAATGTATTTTAGAAAGAGTATTATTAATGCCAATGAAATGCAATTCTGGTATGCTCTCGGTTAAGTTATAACTGATGCTATTTTTAATATGAGACAGTTACGAGAGAGAAAAACATCTGGTAAAAAGACATAAGTTATTCAACGTATTTGTAGATTTGGAGAAAGCCTTTGATATTCCTTGTGAAGTCGTTAGTTGGGAATTTTATTGGAGAGTAAATGAATAAGAAAGGATAAACGTGACAATGAGAATTTATTTTTTAATAGACTATATAGATGTAGTAGCCCTAAGTATGCGTCAAATACGAACTAGAGCTTGACCGTGTGGTGTTTGTGATAAAGAACCAGTTCAATACAATGAATAACTATCAAAAATAGGACCGTAAAAAATATAACGGAATGCAAATTTTTTTTTAAATACTTGTAAAAATAAATTTAGAAGATGTATTACGCGCTTCAGTAACACACCAATCCGTTGTTGCGTTTGTTATGGGCAAAGTAACTATTTTAAACAAAAATGAAAATGGGCCAAAGGTTTGCGGGGTAACAAATTCTGTAATCAAGGGCTAAGGATTGTTTAAAATTGTTTATTTAGCTAAACCACAGAGAACTAAATGATGAGATTAAAATTATTAGGTTAATATACGTGCATAAAAATAAAAGTCGACTAAATCAAACACGGATAGAACGGACAAAAAAAGACACAGAAAGTACTTGAGGGACATGATTTAACGTCACTCAATCTTAAACTAGGTGACTGTCAAAAAAAATTTCAAGAGGAAAATATCTAAATCAAGGATTGTATACACATCAATAATGATGATACTAGTTATGTTAAAGGATTTTTCTAAAACTTATTTAATGTGTTCTTTATTTTTGAATAGACATAACCTTTTAGAGTATATATTTGTTTTAGTATTAATTTTATATTCTAAGCATTTTACGAATCTTTTTTTTTCAAAGAGTTATAAAATTATTTTTTATGCATAATATTCGATAGGAATATTTTTTTTCAAATAATAAAAAATTAATATTTGCAAATATAATTCGAATAATGAGATATTCGATTTGTAAAATTTAAGCTAACAAAGTTTCTTAGGAAAAAAAAAAATTTTGTTGAACGAATGGTATACTAAATAAAGGTATAAAAAATGTAGGAGAGGAGGAGAGAAATGTTGAGATGCTGTTATTAAGAATCAACATAATATATATATAAAGAAGAGTAAATACTCATTTTAAAGTGGATTTAAAATAATTTGGGTATATGGAAGAGATGGAGCCCGAAAAAATCTTTAAGTGTTAAGAGTGAGTGACTTGAATATTGTTTTATAATAGTTGACCACCAATAATCAATGAACAAAAAAAACTTCATCTTTTTTTAATTAAAAAATTATATTATAATTAAAAATATACGGTTATTTGATTTATAGTCTACAAAATCCGGCTCAGAACCCGAAATTCCGGTTAGTGTTTACGAACCCGGTAATCCTAACAGATAAAATCAAACCGTTCTTGATATCTAATTTAATGTAACAATTAAAGTTTGAAAAAATAAAGATATTCTGTATCTTATTTGTTGAATCCGTTTTTTTACAAACCTTATTGTGCAATGAAATGTGACCACTTCATTTACTTGAGCCTTCCTAAGTAGAATTATGATTTATAAATATATTCGGGTTTTAAATACAAATTATTAATATTTCAAGTACAGTTTTCTGCATTCTACTTAACAAATATGACAAATTATGCTCTAATTTTTATTATTATGTAAAAAAATCAATCATTTAAGACACATAATATATATACATTAAATAAATTGTTTAGAAAAGAAAGAAAGAAAGAATGAATTAATATAATGTAGTAGTAATATCTTCGCTTTTTTTTTCGTGAACTTAAAATTTAAAAGCACAAAAAAATTGGCAGGTATTAGATAGATAAGAATTTGATAATAATTTTTATAAATTTCCTATCAAATTATTATTGGAAAAATGTAACAATAAAAAATAATGTAAATAGGTCGGCCTATATTTCGGAGTCCTATATATGTGACCAAATTTTCATTTATTGTGAAGATATATAAATATATTTTTACATTTTTTTTTGTCTTTCAAAAATTAATTTAACATTTTAAAGACTTATTTAAAAAAATGATGCTTTCATAATTCACTTCAAATTTTAAATAACATAAAATTTAAAAAATAAAATTATTTTCCATTCAATATCATTTATATTTACAAATGGCTTGTAATAACAATACTAAACTGACCATAATATTCGCTTCTGGTTGTTTCTTAGTAGTTCTAGTGACCTGCTGTGTCATATTACCCATGTTCTACAACCAAATGTCGGTTCTCAAAATGGAACAGAGAGAAATAGTGGAAGGAATGTTGGATTCACTAGTTTACAAACAAAAGATCGTGGAGCAAATGGAGGTCGAAATGATTCGGTTGAAAGTGAGTAAACTAATACTGATGCCATTCCCTTATAAATAACAATTTTTTTTTTTTATAAAACCATTTATATGTAAGGGAAGAATATTCAAAAAATAGATTGTTTTGAGATAAAAATATTTCAATTGTTATTCAAAATTGCATTTTAACACAGGAAATTAAAGACAAGGCCCTAAAATCAGGGAAGAAATTGCGTTCGAATAGACAGAAAAGAGCATCGAGAAATAAGAATAACCATGGTGACTTCACAAAAGATATCTCAAATATAGACACTTCAGAAAGAGCAAAGAGAAATGCCCCGATCGATGATAATATACGCGACGACGAGATGATGATGCTGATGGATGAGCCCGTTATGCCTCCAGCCCCACACGAGGTTAATATGCATATGCCTATGGCGCCGGATCACCACTTAGGGTCTGAAAGGATGGATGATTCATTGTCCAAATACGAAGGAAGAAGGGCAGGTGGTAGTAATGGCGTGGGTAGGGGCAAAAGAACCTATTATCAAGAAGCTACGGATACCCATGGCAGTTCGGAGATAGAAGCCGGGAGAGACGATAGTAGGTTCGAACAATTGTTGAGGGAACTCGAGAAGACTGGAGGCATCGTAGAGATAGGTAAAATAATTATTTGGTTATAATCTTTTCTACATTATAGATTAAGTATAAACGGGGGAGGGGGACTTTACATCTTAATAAGTTAATAAGGTTGGTTTAATCTGTTGCGCCGCTGGCTCTTATAGTATAAATTAATGATGCTAATAAGTAATTTTTTGATGTAATAAGGGTTGTTTAATTAAAAATAGATCTGTTGAGCATACCTTTTTTTCCCAGCTAGGTCATTTAATTTTTTCTTTGGTATAGATTGACACACCATTTAAATTAATCCAAGCTTTATTTTACGCATATTCTTAATATACAAGGTAACTATAAGTTTGTTTGACAATCAGTTTAATTAAAAAATAAAATAGTTTTAACACCATCCTATGATTAGTAGAATAATTCAAAATTATAAATTAAGAATATTAAGATCCATTAATCATAATTTTTGTCGTTGTCTAACAATATATTTTGGCTTTTTTTTAATATCGATTCATCTAACAATCATTCCCCCCCCCCAACAAAAATAAGTATAAATTATATGTTTATCATTATCAATCCTTGCAAATTTTCATCTTTAATGAATAATAATTGGATATTTTTTTTTTAAACTATTATAACTTGCGACAGTCCAAGTGGTGTTACCATAAAAAAAACTTATAATATTATAGTTATTATTTTGTCAAATATTAATCTATTGTAATAGGGTAACCAACTAGTTAAAATAATTTTAATTACTTTTGTATATGTCATATTGGGGTATGAAATTCATAGGGATTCCGAATCTCTAGATTTTAAATAATTTATTGAGGACAATTTTTTAATTTAAACACCGGATTTTATAATAAAAACATTCCAACATGTAGAGTGTACGCATGTAAATTTCAGAACAATTTCCCAGTAAATTTTTAAAAGCATATATTTTATTTATTCTGAAAAATCTAGATAATAAAAGTAATTTAAAGTTGACGGCAGAAGTGTATGAAATTTACAGTTTAGTTACTTGTGAAGTGCTGTAATGCATTTATTATCAATTCCGATGGTTCAAAAAAAAATTCTTTTAATAAATGGTTTAAGAATCGAGTGATTCAGAATTTCCCCGAATTCTGTTTCATTTTAACCATATTAATTTGGCCAATGCTTTAAGGGAAGGAAAAATGCAAAAGAAAGCTAAACTTTTTTAAAATTTCATTATCATTTTTACTAAGCAGTTATAGGTAAAATATCAAATATTAATCAAATGGGCAAAGTTCATAACAGTAAATTTTTCTTAAAAAATTGAACCAGAGTTTAAATTATTTTGCCTTCGTTCAATAAAAATTGTAACCTCAATTTATTTTTTTACTTGTTACCCCGTCTATCGTTTATAATTTTCCACTATTTTCTTTCTTCAAAATATAAAAGATTGCGGTTGTCCCAATGGTAATCCTGGAACACCAGGACCTCAAGGTCCTTCAGGAAAACCGGGAATTCCTGGAATTCAAGGGGTTGATGGCACTCCCGGAAGGCCCGCGATTGATGGAAATCCCGGGGCACCAGGCGAAAACGGAAAACCTGTGAATTCTTATAACTTATATTTATTATTGCAATAATTTTAAGAATTCGGTAGATTTTATAACTGAACCTTTTTATTTTATAGACTACAAATTTAGGTATATACGGTTCAAAAGCTTTTGCTAACTTGACACCCTTTTTTTATAACTCCATTTTTTTAAATGTAAACTAGCCCTAATTCATATAAATGAGTGAGGGGATCAGATGCGAATTTAGTATTGGCGGCGAGTTTTTTTAGTGAAATTCTGTTAATAACTTATGGCTGGAAAACGCGCATAAATATCTATTAGATTTCATCTCAGAAGGGGGGGGGGTATGCATCTATTAAAAAATCTCTTAATTGTGAGCCTGAAACCGGGATAAAAGGGCAGGTCTTGGATTTATTTAGCTATTAAAAAAAGTATAACGATTTAATTTCTATTATATTGAATTAAATTTTGAAACATACGACAAAAGCGCGAACTCAAATTTAATAAAGGATTAATGTATAAATCATACATTAAATAAGATCTTATAAAATAGGATATCATGTTATCGTGTTTATCGATAATAGCTCAACTCAGGGAATGTTCAAGGAGATATGAGGAGATTTATTTAAAAGTGGTTAGAGAGATATGGATTAGGTTAGGGTTACTTGTTTTGACAGATATGGGTTGGTTATCGTTAATTGCTTTAAGCGATTTGGTTTGGTTAGGGTTAAGATACTTTAAAAATGGTTTTGATAAAATTTAATAATTTTATTAATAAACTCAAACCTGAGAGATCATGTAATATAGAAATTAAAATAAATCAACTGTTGTAACGGCAATTTCAACGAATTGAACCATAATCCTGTTTATCTTCTCTTCTAATTTTTTTAGAAATTTTAAAATAATAAAATGATAAACTAGGCTACCATTGTATTTAAAAATATTGTTGATCATATATTATTATTATTATTTAATTATGTATTTCTAATTTTTTAATTTTCAGGGTCCAGCTGGAAATCCGGGAAGAAATGGGAACGATGGTAGAGACGGAACCCCGGGCCAGCCCGGACGAGCTGGACCGGAAGGTAGCAATGGAAGAGATGGTCAACCAGGAAGAGACGGACAAAATGTTTAATATTATACTATCTAATAATTGTATGATTTTCAATTTTAAAGTATGAATAATTTATAATTGTTCATTTTAAAAAAAGTACGGAATTATATATGTTAATGCTGACGGCTTAATTTGGGTCTTTAAAAATGGCTAACTCAACATTATAGAAAATATTGCCTAAGCATCGAGATTTCGCCAATAGATGTTCAATCCTATGTGCCATCTATGAGCAAAATCTTTAGGCTTGCATAATATATTTTTGGATAAAATATTGAGTTAGCCGTTTTTAAAAATCGGCTCAAATTGTGCCGTTTAACAACAATATTTACGTATATTATTAGTTGTTTGGAGGAGTTATATGCTATTTTTAGAAGGTTATAAAATTAAATATTTCTTAATTTAATTTACTAATACAAATTAATTTATTTCGATATAAAATTTAAAAAATGATTAAAATAAACTGAAGGGTTTACCAGGGAAAGATGGCGAACCAGGTAGAGAAGGGGAACCTGGTGTTTCAGGAGAAAATGGAAAGGATGGCAACGATGGTTTACTGGGTAAGCCAGGAGCTGATGGCATACCAGGTACGTATTGAATTTAGATAGAAATACATTCAAAATATAGATTAAATTTTAAAAAAAGTAATGCTTCATAATAAAAATAACTATATATAATATATATAACACATAGGTATAAGGGGTCAACCTGGTCCTAAGGGGCCAGACGGCAGACCAGGGCCACCTGGGCGAGATGGAGCCCATGGAAAAGACGGATTGCCAGGAAAACGAGGTCGGGATGGTGCTCACGGAATTGACAATAGACTACCCGGACCAGACGGGGATGCAGGTACACCGGGTAGAGACGGCCCACCTGGGCTAAGCGGATCAGATGGAAAACCTGGTCAGGATGGTAATCCGGGTCGGGATGGTCATCATGGCTTGCCCGGCAAAGACGGAGAACCCGGCTTAGCGGGTGTCGATAGTCTACCAGGAAAGGATGGTAACCCAGGAACACCTGGAATCGATGGTAGGCCCGGAGCTCCCGGCATAGACGGAAAACCTGGCCAGCCTGGCAATAGGGTGAATTTTTTTTTAAATTTTGGATTTTTTTAAACTTCTTTTTTAGAGCGAAGGGGTTTGTTTTAAATGAAAATTTTAACAAATATTTATAGAATAATTATGTGTTAAGTTTGAATTAGTTTTATTGCTAAATAGTTATTCATAGTGTATACTCTAAAAATTAACATAAGCATCATATTTTTTTAACCTCTTCAAAGTTAAGAAATGAATGTTTTTTCACATGCTAAGTGCACTTTTTACTTTGAAAGATAGGCATTCGTTGAAATTGAAAGGAAATAAGGATTCCACTTTTTGGGATCCCCGGTTCTTATATTTATATTTTATTTAAAGATTTTATTTATAACCAATAAAGAGAATAGATTTTTTCTTGGTTATGAGTAAAAAAAAACATTAAACAAAATTAAAATGTGAAAAATTTTTTTTTTGTAAAAATTAATAAATAGAAAGATTTTCCAACTTGAAGCAATTGCTTCTAAAGTGTTTGCCCCCATGCCCCATGTAAATTTCAAGGAGCATTTGCTTCATAACCCCCCCCCCCCCCGTTATAGGAGCAACTGATAGATAGTGATTTATTTAATGTTATTTCATAGGGTCTTCGATTTTTTAGAGAAGTCTTAATAATGATTTATATAAATATAGCCTTTTAGAGGTCTCAGCTGCATCTTTATTAAAAAAAAATTATATATAATAAATCCAGGGGGTTCCTGGAGAGCCTGGAAACCCAGGAAAAGATGGTTTACCTGGCAGTCCTGGAAGAGATGCTCATCATGGCCTTGACGGAAAGCCCGGACCAGATGGGAGACCTGGCGATGATGGACAACCCGTTAGTATTTTATTTTATTTTACAATTTCAATTTTTTTTATTTACTTTATGAGCGCCATGGAAAGTTTCAAAAAACAATTAGATAGAGCATTTGAAAAAATGTTATTTGGATTTTCCAGAGTGTTACCCAAGATTTTACTCATAAATGAAGGGATATTTTTTATAACCTGCATTATAAAATCATGCTTATTAACAACCATATCCTCCAAGATTTTAAACACCTTGATATTGTGAGCTTTATTTTTAACAATGCTTTGCCATAGAAATATTCATTCATTATTAATTTAATAAAATATTTCTAGAAATGTTTCATAAATTAACTTGGAAATTAATATATTTGGGAAAACTAAGAATATATCATATCAACTAATATCTTTTTTCTCTCTATTAATTTAAAAAATTAATAATTCTATCATTACAAAATTTCATTTATAAAATCGAAGGGCTTAGACGGTGAAGCCGGACGAGATGGTCGGGATGGCAAGCCAGGTGACAGAGGGCGAGATGGTCTTTCAGGAGTGGATGGAAAATCGGGAAACGACGGCAGACCCGGTTCAGCTGGTGTTAACGGTCCGAAAGGAGCTAAGGGATTATCCGGTCAGCCGGGGCAGGATGGATCACCAGGTCAACCAGGACCAGATGGTCTGACTGGCCCACCTGGGGAGAACGGACCTATTGGAAGCTTACCAGGAAATTCGGGTAGGGCTGGAAATGACGGAAGACCGGGTACCCCAGGAATATCTGGAAGCCCCGGAATAAGAGGAAGTTCTGGGGTTCCAGGTAAACCAGGAAGGGCAGGTGAGAAAGGAGATAGCGGACAGAGTGGACGAGACGGTGAATTGGGAGTGCCTGGCTTACCCGGCAAAGATGGCCCTCCTGGAGGCCCAGGAGTTCCGGGAAAGTGCCTTAACGAGTGCGTCAACGATAACCGAAAAATCAGTAATTTGTCATTATAATTTACATTTATAAATTTTTTAAATAAAAATTGCTAGACCTAGAGAGTACAGGAAGGAGATGCCATTGATACACTATATATTAATATATATACAATTTATTTTTATAGTATATCATTATATACTTTTAAACAATATAAACATAAAATATAAAATATTAATATGAAATAAGGAACTAAGCAAAATGTTGATTTTATTAACTAAACAATGTATAAAACTTAATAAAAAAGCGGTATGCGGTGGCTCCTTGTACGTACATTGGGGTAAGAAATCATGTTCTGATGACACAGATACAGGCGCTAAGTCTCAACTTGTTTACAGTGGATATGTGGCTGGAGGTCATTATGCTGACTCGTATCCAGGTGGAGGTCACAACTACCTGTGTTTACCTGAAAATCCGAATTTCGAAAAGTATATTTATTTAATTAAAACAAACAAAAACTATTTATTTTATAAAATTAAAATTGATTAAAAAAGTTATAATTTTTCGATAATTTATTTAGCAATGAGACCAAATTAATAAAAAGAGAACCCAAATATATAACATTTTAATGTATTATATTGCACTTAAAGCTTTTTAAATTATCATTTGGATGATAGAATTTGCCACTTTATTTAATACAAAAAAAATAATGTAATGTAATGTACGCGTCAGTATAATAATGTCAATTTAATGCTCCATAATGAAATACATGATCTGATCGATCTAATATACATTTTTTTAAAATATTAAACAAATTTATATCTTAATCATGTTCGACTAGTTTCGTAGATGGATTTTCGACAGGAACTAATGGCGAAGGAGCTTCCAAGATATACGGGGCAGAATATAGAGTATATGACGATGCCAGCCCATTTTTGGTCTATCAGGGCTCGCTCAAACAAAAACAGGCCGTGTGTTCTGTTTGCTATACCAGTAACGCTTGCAACCATGTAGTTATTCCTGGATTCACTGAATGTCCTACAGGTTAATTTTTTTTATTTTTTGAGGTAAAATAATTACATTCATTATTAGTAAAATAAATAATATACATATTGAAATTCTTAAAAATATATAGTAAATTTTATAATCAATAAATATTTAAATCATTAAAAGGCTTCGTCAAGGAATATCAAGGTTACATTATGGCTCTTAACAACAAATACTGCCGTTCTCAGTACATTTGCGTGGATCAATCTCCTGATTTCCACACTGAAGGTGATAGCACGGGTGACGGTAGCGCGCTTTATGTCGTAGAATCCAAATGTGGAGCTTTGCCTTGTAACACTTATTCAGACGGAGCGGAGATATCGTGCATTGTTTGCGCCAAATCATACGCCTATTAATTGCCCCCCCCCCAAACATAAAATATACTACCCAAAAAGTAGGAACACCCTTCCCTTTTTAAACAAAAAAATATATACCCATATATAAATATCATAGTACATATACATATAAAAATATTTAGTTCAATGCACCACAAATTCACGCTTTATCACTTCTTTCTTATATATACGTAGGTTACTTATATATATTATATATTAAAAATTGACAATATTATTATTTATTTTTTTTATTATTATTATACAATCATAACATAATTTAGACAAATTATTATTGTAATGAATATTGTAGCTTTAAAATAAAATAATTTGATAATCATTTTTATATATCTTTATTTTTATTCTAATCACACATGTATTAGATTTATGTAATTTTATTCGTATTTTTTTTCTTTATAATTTTAGCGAATTTTTTCCAAAATATTTTAAGTCAATTGATGTAATAAAGGATATTAATTTTATTTTCTAAACAAAATATAACCTTTTATTTTCCACCTTTTATTAAGTTTATTAGAGATATCTTATTTTAAAATACATTCCTTCAATATTACGCATTGGGAGGGGGGGGGGTGATTAATATTTTTACGTATTTTGATCACAAATTACATATATAGAGCGCATTCGACCGGTATTTGCATATTTCCAACACTTTTCGTCATTTTTATGGTGAATAAGGAGATATGAGTATAAATTAGGTAATAAATAAAAACGAGTAAAAAATAATTTGTAAATGACTTAATAAGATAATATTAATAATAATTTATGAAATATTCACCATAATTTATGTAATATTGTATTAATGATAAAGTATATAATATTAAAGTTAATTTACGTAATATATTTATATTACATTTTATTTACGAAACAAATTCTGCAATATTTTGGGGAGAGGGAACAAAAAATTATTGGTGGAGGGTGCGAAGCCCCCTAATTCTCCCCTGTTGCTACAGCTGTGATTAAGACTCCTTCCTCTAAACCGATTACGGTATTACCACCAATTAAAACTCCCCCCCCCCCCACTCCAAACATCTAAAATTTTACTCTCATCACCTTCCTACTAAATCAGCATATAAGAAAAGGTAATATAAAATCAAAATTAGCATAAACAAAAAAAGGAAATCAAAATTAACCTATTCTCCTTTCAATTTTATTCAAATGACGATAGCGTCTTCGTAACCACATGTGTCATGCCCCCCCCTCCCCAAACACTCCTGGAGTAGAAGTCTCTCTGCGTCTATTAATTTAATCTCAATGTTTCTTAAACTACATAATATATTGTAAAATTAAAAACTTCTATTAGGTGATCACTTAGGCGATTACCTTTTCTTGGGTCTTTCAAAATATTATTTATGATATTAGAGGTGAGGGGAATGGGAAATGTGTTGCGGGGAGGGGGCTTTTGATTAGATTAAAATTCCATAGGACAGGCAAATCTTTAATGGGATTTTCCCCTCCCCATCCCTTTAGTTACATGCCCTGAATAATAATGTTAATTATTACCTTGCTCAACTTGAAGAGATCTTTTATTTACATATGAGTTAATTTCACTCAAAGTGTATAATTGTTAGATTAAATTCATTTTTAAAAAATAAAAGTTTAGAATAAAAGACTCGATTTGGGAAAGAATCTTAGAACATCGTCTTTTTTATTAACTAATATCTATTCTATCTCCTTTTCTAAGTACTTTTTCTTTAACATAAAGGTTAATTCAAGTTACCTTGATATCTATTACCTATTTTAAGTTCCACATATGCGTAGTCATTATTATCAGATTTACATATATTTTTTTTAAAAAAAGCCTTTAAAAAAGTTATAAAAAAGATAAAAATAAGGAATAAAAGAACAAAAAACTAAGATAAAATTTACTAAGTGAAAAATTTTTTAAAATATAATTATTTAAGACCGCATATTTTACTTTCAATCTTTATTTTATATCATTATTTTTATTTAAAATAAATAAACCAATAAAATCCATCGTTTATCGTAAAATTATATTTAAAAAATACCCAAATTTGACAATTTTAACTGCCTACAGTTAATTTTTTTTGTTAAAATTCCCATGATAATCAATCTTTTATAATATCTATGGAAACCAAGTTTAAAAAAATATTATTTATATAACATAAATATGTGTATTTATATTTATTATATAGTTAAGTTAAATGAAAAAATATTTAAAATTTTTTTTAGAATATATATTATTTTTACTTTAGAAAGTAATAAGATTAAAATTAGGGCTGTTTCTTCAGCACATCGCAAAGATTCTGACATCTCATTAGCAAATGAAGCAAAGAATTCGTTGTCAAATAACCCCCCCCCCCCCACCGCCCCCATACGCTCATATTAAATCAGTTATATTTGATACATTGGTACTTTAAACGTAGTTCAAATTTGCGAAAATAGTTTATTTTCATTAAACATCAGACCCACATAATTAATAAAAGAACATGACTAGTTTAGCACATTTTTATATTATTAAAAGCACTAATTTTATCATATTTACCCACAATATATCTTTTGACAATGAGATATATTACAATTTTTAATGTCGTTGTAGGGGGAAATATTTTATTAGCTTAAAATGATATTTGCGAGAACTGGCAAAACAGCGATGGGCGGGATTATCCCCTCCCTACCCTTTAGGTTATGTGAGAATGTTATATATAAACGTCAGGATTTTAAAAAATTTGGAATTAAAAGAATATGAATTTTAATTGATATTGAACCTTCTTATAATAAATGCTATAGTTTGAACTAACAATAGGTAATTTTTACCAGAAATACAAAGTCAAGCTTAAACTGGTATCCTCTTATATAAAGAAATACAAATTTAATATGGGAGACATAGTTGTACCCTATTCCAGTAACTATAGTCTTTATAATGAGTTTAGTTTGAAGTAAAAAAAATAATAATAACTAAAAGGTATCGGTACTCTTCTCCACCTCCACGCGATAAAATTTAAACATATACTGTTTGTCGGAGCAATTATCGGAATATTTGATGTGATTGCCTTAATGAAATATCTATGATAATTAATAAGACATTTTATTGTTAAATATTATAATTTAATTATCTAAAATGATATGATAATATATTTTTTAAGGAAATTATTGATTTAAATATTTTCTACTTCTTTCAAAATATAATAAAGTATATTCGCATATATTTTTTTGGGGAAAAAAAATTATATAAATCAAGAAAAACCTTTTATCTTCTTATAAACTCCATTTTCTTCGAAAAACGAAACAATCTGTTCCTTTATTCTAAAAAATTAGTCTATAAATGGGTTAAAAGTGCTCTCAATTTTAAAATAGGCTTTATTTTTAAATATAAATTTTATTAGTATCTTATTCTATTTTTTTGTATCAACAGACTCTATAATTATTTTAAAATTGTTTTCTAGCCACATTAAAAATTAATCCTAACAGTAAATATATTATTGTTGTTAAAGTATCTAGATATAAATATGCGGTATCTGTATCTAAATATATTTTCATAAAAAGTATATTTAATACTATTTTACAGATATCTCTATCTAATTTAATTCATCAGATATTATGTCCGAGTTTATTTCATTACAAAAATGAACCAGACAAGTTTAATTTTATGCAATGGATGATGACAAAATTTGAGAATGTTTTATATTTAAAATCTAACAATTATCTTGTATAAATATATAATTATATATTTTATATGTATTGTTAAAATGTAACAATTTTATTTATAATTTAATTTAAATATATATTGTACATTTATTATTAAAATATAATCATTATTATTAATTATATATTTTATATATAAATGGGATATCAATTCAATAAATTTTTTTTTAGCTTACTTAGAAATTTGAATTTTAACAATAGAATCTAAATTTTACGCACATACAAAATTATAATAAAAATATATCTTGCGAAAAATGTCTGTGTAGAATACAATTGTTAAAATGTATCTAGAATCGATACATTTATATGCTATGTAATTTATCTAGAAACATTTTGAAATAAAATTTATATCAAAGTATCTTTTAAGCCTTATCTGTATCTAATTTAAAAAAATAAAATCAGTCAATGTTGAAATATAAGGGGAAAAATCTTTCTTTATATATTTTTTAAAAAAATTATAATAAATTAAATATTTTTCGACTTTTCGACAAAACATCCTTAACTAACCTTTATACAAATTATAATTCTTATTTAAATTGCCGATATTAAATTTAAATACAAAAAATAACAACGAGTTAATAAATCAATAAAAAAAATATATATATTTATATAAAATTTGCACAAAATAAAATACAAAAATTTAATAAATTTTCTTTTATTCAATTGTAAAAGTATTATAAAAATATTTTAAATTTTTCTTTTTGTTAAAGAAAAAGAAGATGAAGTTTAAATAATATTAATTAATATAAAATAAAAATTTGTTTCAAAAATAAAAACTTTTATTATTGCAAATTTGGAGGATTTATTATAATTTTTGTCAAAACTTTATCGATTCTAAATTCTTTTGAATAAATTATATTTTATTTATTTTTTGAAAAAAAAGGAAAATAAGATTCATTTTCCAAAGGAGCATTCATCTTGATATCAATTATTCCCTACTTATATTTAAACAAAAAAATAGAGGGAGTTGGTGTTTCTTAATTTACTATCAACTTACCGGCTCACCACATTCATTTGTGTTCACTATGAAAAGGTTTTATTATAATAAATATAATCATTTTTTTCAAAAATAAAGGTTGGAGAATTTAGAAAGTGAAGCGCCCCCCCCTCTCCTTATCATTTTCAAAATTTATGTCCATATCATTAAAAGGTTTTATGTGGATTTAATAGCTTAATCTGTTCAATCCCACGTTAGACCATTTTTTATATATTTTTTTGGCGTCTAGAGCTAAAAAAAATTTAAATTAATGCAATTGATTTAAAGTTAACTTTATGTTTTAAGGATTTAGTTTATCACTCATTTATTTCTTCTCGGCAGTTATTATTTAATATGAATGTTAAGGGAATTTTTTATTAATATCGGGCTTTCTAGAGAAACAACGTTTTTTTAGATTTATATCGAATTCAGTTAAAAATAATATTAAGTAATATTGGAGATTTGGTAAATCCAAGCCTTTCAGTCATCTATGTGTAAAATAG